GTGCTCCGCGCAAGCCTCACCTGTGGCGCCCTCGGCCTGTGCTTGCGGACAGCTCTGCTTTGCTTGCTCACAAGTGTGTTTTATTTAGCTCGTGAAAACAGATTTTCACATCTTCTAACAACAGGGAGATTAAAAAGCATACTGGACTCAGAGCAGGGCCCGCATGGCCTCGAAGCCGCACCCTAGGCGCCGGTGCCAGTTTGAGTCCATTCAAGGGGCGATGGCTCTCTGTAGGGGGCAGGATGGGCACGGAGCAGGTTTTCTAATCCAGCAGACCGGGCAAAGGAGGAGAGAGCCCTGGAGCCCTCAGTGGCTTTTGCAGGCTTTTATTGGGATTGATCAGTGTAGGGTAAGGAAAAATGTCAGGCTTTCCTGCCCTCCCGCCATCAGGAGAGATGACGGAACCCTGCGGTCCTGAGCACATGCCTGATGGCGGCACCTGGAGTGGGGTGTGGGCACAGGTAGATGGGATTCACCTGGGCTGAGACTGGGCTTTTAAGGGCGGCGTCACGGGGACGCCAGCAGAAGCCAAGCAGCAGCAGAATGAATGGAAGAGCAGAGAAGCAGAGAGAAGGCCAGAGAGCCCAGACAGAGTGGAGACGTGCTGGGGGCTGGGAGGCCTGCCAGCCTCCCGCCCCCCAGCACCCCTGCCTGCCGTGTACTGGGTAAATCCCAATAAAAGACCTGCAAAAAAACCACTGGGGACTCTGACTCCTCCTTGACCCGCTCTGCTGGATCAGAGAACCTGCACCGTGTCCAGTCCTGCCTTTTACAACCAGGCACACGGCAGGCAGGGGTACGGGGGGCAGGCCTCCCAACCCCCGGCAAGTCATCACTCTGTCTGGGCTCTCTGGCGTTCTCTGGTGATCTCTGCTGCTCTCGTGGCTCTGCTCTCTCTGGTTCTCTGCTCTACTATTCGTTCTGCTTCTCCCTCTGGCGTCCCCATGACGCCACCCAGTCTCAGCCCAGGTGAAGCCCATCTGCATAGGCCCACACCCCACTCCAGGTGCCGCCATCAGGCATGCATTCGGGACCGCAGGGTTCTGTCATCTCTCCTGATGGCGGGAGGGCAGGAAAGCCTGATGCTTTTTACCTTACCCTACACTCTCCCAGCGCCCTTTCAAGGGGCTCCTCACAGTGCTACTGCCTCTATCCATTCCACCGAGCAGCCACCTCCATGCTGAGGTGATGCCGCTTGCTGGAGGTAGGAAGGATTGGAAGCGCTGAAGGATGCAACTTCAGGGCGGGCATGCCCGAAGCCCTTTTTCTATCGGCCCTGACATTCCTCTGAGCAGCACCCACCGCCTGCCCTCACGGTTGGGGGCCTGTCGGCGCTGCTCGGGCTTCCCATGCTCTCGGTGGGGGTGAGTGACCGCTCTCGTCCCACTTGCTGTGCTTCTCGTCTGCGGCGCCGGAGAGCTGGCACTTGGCTTTTCCGAGAACACACCTGTCTGTGCGCACACGGCCTGGTGAAGCAGGCGTCCCGCTCTCCCCAGAGGCTGTTGAGACTGTGCCGGTGTGCGAGGGGCCGCACATGTGGCCTCAACACGGGAAGGGGGACGAGCACCGTTCAGTGGCATTGACTAAGTGTATGCTTTGGGCACCCCGCAAAGCCACTCCTTCGGAAGCCCCCCAGCCTTTCTCCCGCAGACAGTCCTGGGCCTGAGCAGGTAGCTGGACCCGGGGTAGCCTCTTTGCAGTGCCACCTCGACCTCACACCCACAGACTGGCCCCGGGGTCTTTTTTTTTTTTTTTTTTTTTTTTTAAAGATTTATTTATTTATTTCTGCATGCAAGAACTGGGGTACAGGCCAGAGGTGTGGGGGATGAGAGGACTCAACAGAGACAGAGTGGGGAGCAGAACAGGCGGATTGACTGCTGAGGGGAGCAGCGAGGAGACGGGAGGTCTGCTGCGCCCTGTGGGTATCTCCCTGGCCGGCCGGGGATGGAACTCGTGCTGCAGAGGCTGCGGACAGCTTCATAGGCTGTGTCTTAACCCCTTGTGCCAACAGGGAGACCCAGGCCTGGGGTCTTTGTGCACTTGTTACTTGGCTTTAAATAGGGAAGCGGCCGGCAGGGAAGACAGTAATAAGCGCTGTGTACCCTGGACAAGCAGAATTAGAAATCGCCACAGTGTCCAACTCAGTTCAAGTAACTTCGGCTTCAAAGGGCCAGAACAGTAGCGCTCGCATTGGGGTCCTCGCCGTCCCGTCTGCAGTGCTGCTGATAGTTCCTTTCTGCACACACAAAAATGATCAAAGCAGTAAATTTTATGTTACACATATTTTACCACGATAAAAAGCATGCAGGAAAATCCTTGCTTTTCATTTAGGCCTACGTCAGAATCTGGGCACCGCTGGACCCCCCACTTTACAGGGAGTAGCCAAGGAACTCTGTTCTGCTCTCCTTGAACTCCGTGGATGCGGCCGTCACCACCCCCTCCACTCTGGGCCCAGACGTCCCTATCCTTAGTTGGTGGCACCACCATCCTCCAGTTTGGGGTGTGGTCCTCCAGTGCGCCTCACACTAGTCCAGGAGGTGCCATGCACCTCCTGGGCCGTGCCCAGTGCCTCGGCCCCACCAGGAGTGCTGCCCAAGGCTTCTTCCAGGCCCACCTAGCTTTCCTCGACGGGGTCCTTTCACGAGACGAGCCCTCCTCGTCCCTGGGCCCTGCCCAGAGCCGCCTTCCCCCATGGGGCACCTGGGTGGCCCCCCTCCCTTCAGGTCTTTCTCTTGCTGCCCCAGCACCCCCATGTGCGTTGCCCCCTTACTTGCTTCACCATCACTTCATCCTTTTGGCTCCTTGCCTGCTCGTTTCCTCCCGACTTCCCGTTACTTCCACAGCACCCGTCTGCCTTCACGGGCCCACGAGCCACCCCCAACCAGAACCGCCGTGTTTTCCGGGAGCCAGCCGCTTCCCTCCCTCCCGTGGACGCCAGGCCTCTGTCCTGCCCTGGGGCACCCGTGCTGGCTGCGCAGAGTTTTTTGAAGCAAAGCTTTCCTCTGTTTCCTGTGGTACGCGATGGACAGTTGCATTCGTTGCTTTCTGTCCGAGGTCAGTGTGATGGGGTTGGTGACTTTGCGTTGTCTGAGTTTTGAGTGTGCGAACTCTCACATGATTCAGAAGTCAAAGCTGGACCCCAGCACGCCCAGAGATGTCTCAGGCCCGTCTGCCCCATGTGGCGACCCCGCTCCACGCATTTCTGCCTTACCCTTTCTAAGCCCCCTTCTCTCTCATACAAAAGACAGCCTGGATATACAATTGGCACGTGGCGTTTTTCACCCCCCAGTTGATCTTGGGGATCAGTACCCAGCAGTTCGTGGCGCGCTCCTTGGGCCGCTTCTACAGCCACAACTCAGCCCGCCCCGGGGGGCCGCTGTCTGCTTAGCATGGCCTCTGCCGGAGCCTGCGTCCTTCTGCGTTTCCGGAGGTGTCTCTTCATGGCAGGCTTCTCGAAGGGATTGCCCTCGATGGTGTCGACACCCTTGATCATACCCAAGAGCTGTTCTTGGGTTTCTCCTTGACCTCAGACACACTGGGTCAAGCGGCTGTGGAGTGCAAAGCAGAGTTCTGAGGAAGGCACACCCGCCCCGGGGCCACACCGTGCAGGCTCTGGGGGCACCCCGGCCGCCTGCGTCGTGCTTGTCGACGGGGGGCAGTGCCATTGCAGTCTCCGGCGCTCTGTGGCCGGCCAGCAGCCTCCTCTCCTTGCCAGTGCGCTGTACCGGGATTCCTCACTGCCTGGTGAGCAGTTCAGACCAGAATTAAAAAAAAAGTCTGTGCTAGAACAGTCAGGCCCCGCTTTGACGGCAAGAAAAGGTATCCTGTGGGTCACGGGCTGACTCTCAGGTGACCCCGGGCGAGCCCCGAGGGGCCAAGGCCTGTCTCCACACGCCTGTCCCCGTAGTACCAAGCGTCTCCTAATGCTAACTGCCCCCGGCGCCGTCCTGCCTGCATGCCCACGCCTTCATGGCAGTGTCTGCTGTGTAGACAAGGGGGCTGCTGCATGGGTTAGAACAGCCACAGGAGCAAGTGGCTGGTGCTGGCGAGAGCCAGTAGGACAGGGCAGTTCTACAGCTGAGATGCAGAGGCCAGGAGCAGGCCAGCTCTTTGCCCGAAAGAATCAGGCCACTTCGGTAGGGGACTGGCGGATAGCTGGCTCGGAGCCGTGATTCTTCTTCGCCAGCCCCGGCCCAGGTTGTGTTCCCAACTTCTCAGCCCCGCCACTAGAGCATCGCGTCCAAACGTTTCCAGGGTCTTGGGAGGCCTTTCCAAAGCACAAGGCAGGGCCTGGCAGGCCGAGCCAGGTATCCGGAAGGAGCTGCTCTATAAGGGCACATGGGGCTGTGGCCAGACCGTGCCTTTTCTTTCTTCCTGCTCGGCCCTCTCCGTCTGCGGAGACAAGGGTATTTGTCGCAAGGGAGCATCTTGTGCCCAAGGCTTACTGGAATGCTGTGGGATCACATCTCTTCTCACAGCAGAACCCCAGGGCAGTGGCGTTTGGTTGCCCAAGGTCGCTGGTGTTCCTGGGGCTCCTTTGTGCCTTTTTGCCCTCGGAGGCCACGGTACCCGCGATGAGATGACAGGCACAGGGTGCTGGTGTCTCTGGCACAGGTACGCGTGGGGCTGGTCACCACCTCCCAAAGAGGTGGTGGGGCCCATGCTCCCGTCAGCAGCTCAGACCATGCCCCCCACTGGCTGCCCTACAGGGGCACCCAGGCCCCACCTGTCTGGAGTGGACAGCCCCCTCTGTGGCAGCCAGGGCCCTATGCAGCCATTCCTCCTGCCAGCTGCGAGACCTGGGTGCTCGGGTGGGTGGCTGCAGTGCAGGTAGGGTGCCGTTGTCATCACCCAGCCGCCCACAGCCTCGAAGAAATGGGGAGGTGAAGGGGCCCTGCTTCGGGCAAGTGCAGCCCTGTCCCGTGGGCCTGGCCTGTGGCCGCTTTGTCTGCCAGCTGGTGTGCTTCCTGTGGTACTCACATGCTCGTTTCACACTTCAGGGAAGAAAAGTCAGAAGACCAGGATCTCCAGGGCCTCAAGGACAAACCGCTGAAGTTTAAAAAGGTGAAGAAGGAGAAGAAAGAAGACAAGGAAGGCAAACATGAACCCCCGCAGCCGCCAGCTCACCACTCTACTGAGCATGCGGAAGGGTCTGGCTCAGCCCCAGCCGTCCCCGAAGCTTCTGCGTCTCCCAAGCAGCGGCGCTCCATCATTCGCGACCGTGGCCCCATGTATGATGATCCCACCCTGCCCGAGGGCTGGACCCGAAAGCTAAAGCAAAGGAAATCTGGCCGCTCCGCTGGGAAGTATGATGTGTATTTGATCAAGTAAGTAAGGGCAGTTCCACGCTCTGCAGCACGGGCAGGGCCGAGTGGGGGTGGGGGGCGGTCAGGGACAGGCTCTGAAACTGGTGGGACCCCTGCAAATGGCAGCTCTTCGCTGCTTGTTGGGCGGGGGGTGCCCACAGTGAGTACTACAGGTCAGCAGGTGTGCCCTGGTGGGCCTTTACCCCCGCCCTCACCCGGAGGTGGACTGGCAGTAGGTCCTACCCAAGGCCACAGTGAGGACCCACCCGGGGCCACAGTGAGGACCCTGGGAGGCTCCCCAGGAAGCACCGAGGACTGCAGTCGGGGGTGCACGCGGAACTCCTGGGGTTCCTACCACCTCCCAGCTGGAGAACGTCAGGGGTTCTCAGAACCCTCAGCTGCCTCGCCCTGGGAGAGTGATTCTGTGATACTGCTTCGTGACCCAGAAGAGACAGGGGTTCACGGGGCTCAGTCTACTCTGAATCATGCTGGGAAAGGTGGGCCCTCTGGGGAGAGGTACCCACAAACTGGCTCCATGTACTTGTCCAACCTGTACATTTTGCATTTGTCCAGCTTTGGGCTCATCACTGGGCATTTTTGATTGAAGCCCAGTAACTTCCAGAGCCAGAGATTGAAAGGAGCAAATAAGTACCTTTCAGTTCTGTCCCTTGAACGATCCCCAAAAGATGGTCCGTTTACCAAGGACATTTGCAGAGGCCTCACTTGATGGCAGTATCTCTGAGACGGGCACGCTGACCGTGATCGTCCCGACAGATGAGAAACCCTGTTCTCAGGGCGGCCCCTCAGCGTGGGCCCCCAGGCCCTGCCAGGCCAGACCCCTCGGGGGCATCCAGGTGACAGCTGCTGGCTGTCCTAGTGCAAGTGCAGGCCTTGTGTGACCGGGCCGTGCCCTCCAGGTTTAGCTCACTGTGGCTTTTCTTAAATGTGACTCTGGCTCTTTAGCGACGGCAGGCTTGTCAGTTGCACAGCATCTTCTGTGACAGAATTCTTCGCCACCTCCACTCTGCTCCCTTTCCGTCATGACTGTGGAAGCTTCTGATCATTCTTTGTGTCTGCATTTGTTCCCACAGTCCGCAGGGAAAAGCCTTTCGCTCTAAAGTGGAGTTGATTGCGTACTTCGAAAAGGTAGGCGACACCTCCCTGGACCCTAATGATTTTGACTTCACGGTAACTGGGAGAGGGAGCCCCTCGCGGCGAGAGCAGAAACCACCTAAGAAGCCCAAATCTCCCAAAGCTCCAGGAACTGGCAGAGGCCGGGGACGCCCCAAAGGGAGCGGCACCACGAGACCCAAGGCGGCAGCGTCAGAGGGCGTGCAGGTGAAGAGGGTCCTGGAGAAGAGTCCCGGGAAGCTGCTCGTCAAGATGCCTTTTCAAGCTTCGCCCGGGGGAAAGGCCGAGGGGGGCGGGGCCACCACATCCACCCAGGTCATGGTGATCAAACGGCCTGGCAGGAAGAGAAAAGCCGAGGCCGACCCCCAGGCCATTCCCAAGAAGCGAGGCCGCAAGCCGGGCAGTGTGGTGGCAGCGGCCGCCGCCGAGGCCAAGAAGAAAGCCGTGAAGGAGTCTTCCATCCGGTCCGTGCAGGAAACCGTGCTTCCCATCAAGAAGCGCAAGACCCGCGAGACCGTCAGCATCGAGGTGAAGGAGGTGGTGAAGCCCCTGCTGGTGTCCCCCCTCGGCGAGAAGAGCGGGAAGGGGCTGAAGACCTGCAAAAGCCCCGGGCGCAAGAGCAAGGAGAGCAGCCCCAAGGGGCGCAGCAGCAGCGCCGCCTCGCCCCCCAAGAAGGAGCACCCCCACCACCCCACCACCCCGAGCCCCCGAAGGCGCCCGTGCCGTTGCTCCCGCCCCCGCCCCCGCCCCCGCCCGAGCCTCAGCGCTCCGAGGACCCTGCCAGCCCCCCCGAGCCCCAGGACTTGAGCAGCAGTGTCTGCAAGGAGGAGAAGATGCCGCGAGGAGGCTCGCTGGAGAGCGACGGCTGCCCCAAGGAGCCCGCTAAGACTCAGCCCGCGCCGCCCGCCGCCGCGGCCGCAGAAAAGTACAAACACCGAGGGGAGGGAGAGCGCAAAGACATTGTCTCGTCCTCCATGCCGCGGCCAAACAGAGAGGAGCCTGTGGACAGCCGGACGCCCGTGACCGAGAGAGTCAGCTGACTTTCCAGAGCGGCTTGCAGAGCAAACCAAGAATAAAGGCAGCTGTTGTCTCTTCTCCTATGGGTAGGGCTCTGACAAAGCTTCCCGACTAACTGAAATAAAAAAGATTTTTTTTTCTTTCAGTAAACTTAGAGTTTCGTGGCTTCAGGGTGGGAGTAGTTGGAGCATTGGGGATGTTTTTCTTACCGACAAGCACAGTCAGGTTGAAGACCTAACCAGGGCCAGAAGTAGCTTTGCACTTTTCTAAACTAGGCTCCTTCGACAAGGCTTGCTGCAGATACTACTGACCAGACAAGCTGTTGGCCAGGCTTCCTAGGGTACGCCTGCACCTCCCCCACTCAGACCTTCCCTGTCGTGGCCGCTAGGGACAGAGAGCAGTGGAGAGGGCGCCCCAGTCTCGGCGCTCCTCTCCCCCACCCTGCCCCGCCCCGGCTCCCACGGCCCCCTACTCCCACCCACGTTGGGACGAGGAGGCGCGAGGCAGGAGAGACAGTTGGAGCCTTTAGAGAAGCAGACAGAGGTGGCCAGTGGCTCTGGCCCCGGCGCTCCCACGGCAGCGGCGCGCGGCTCGCCCCATGCCAGCCCCCATCCAGAACCAACCAGGACATTTCGCAGGACAGGGAGGTAGCACCTGTTTGCTCCCGTCTGGCGTGGCTAGGAGGGAGTTGTCCTCTGAGCGGCTGGGTGTAGACTGGCCTGAGCCAGAGGAGAGGCAGCCCAGGGCTGGCCTCCCGCGGGGCACGTGAGAGAGGCTGTGGAGGCCCCAGGCCCGGCGCAGGCAGGGGCCCTGCACGGCCGAGCGCTGCAGGGCAGAGGCGGGGTTCCCAGCTGCTCCGAGCAGCGCGGGACGGGTAGGTGGAGGCTCAGCAGACGGGGCGGGTGCCAGGGGGAAGGAGGGAAAATGTTCTTCCAAAACTTTCCAATTCTACTCCTGTAGGGACAGCGTAGGACTATTCGCACTACTCAGTCTTCGTGTTCCCACTTCGAAACAAACGTGCTCCGCGAGCTAGTTGGCTTGGGTCGTGACTGCCCGTCAAGCCGCCAGCGCGGTGGTGCCCGTGCTCCCTGGTCTGTGCGCCTGCGCTTGTCTCCAGGTGGGCTCAGCGCGTAGGGATCCCACGAAGCTCCGAAACTCTAAGTGTTTGCTGCAATTTTATAAGGACTTCCTGATTGGTTTCTCTTCTGTCCTCCATCTCTGCCGTTCCTTTGACTTACATTTCTTCCCCTCCTCCTTGCTCCCAGCCCATCCCTTCTGTTCCAGGCCGTCGCAGTACCCCACTGTACCCCGAGCCGATGCTTGTTAGCCCAGGCCCCTAGGACTCCCTGCCCCGGGCCTCCTCACTGCTAGCACCAGCCCCACCCTGTTCTGAGCTCTGAGGAAGCCCGGGGCTCGCTGTGGCGCCTCCACTTCTGAAGAGCGAGAGAACAGCCGGGGCTTGCTTTCCCAGGGAGCACCCCAGCACCCCTGGTCAGAAGCAGCAGAAGGCCTTTCTGCTTCTGAACCCCGGGCCTTCGCCACCTAAGTAGACAGGCCGGGCAGGAGGAGGGCCGGGTTGGGGTCAGGACCGGACTGCCGAGGGAAGCACAGAGACCCGTCCCTCCCCCGCCCCCCCCCCCTCGAACCGGGGCCACCCTGACATGGACCTGTGCCAGGCCTGGCAGGGGGCAGAACAAAGGCAGGTGCCCCCGGACCCGAGCTGGGACCAGCACCGAGACCGCTGCGGCCCCTCCGCTCCCTCCTTTCCCTCCAGTTTTTTTCCTAAGGGAAAACCTTCAGCTTCTGCACGCAGGAGCCTGGGCGGGCCCTGCCACGACGAGTCTCCCTCCGCTCCCTGGGACGGTGCGGGGCCTCAGGCTCGGCTCTGCTGCGGTGCGCGCAGTGATCGGTTTCCATCTGGGATCCCGTCTCTTCAACCTCTGTTCAGGAAGTCCTTATCTAGCTGCGTCTCTTCATCATATTGGTATATCCTTTTCTGTGTTTACAGAGATGTCATCTAAATCTGTCCAACTGAGAAGTACCTTATCAAAGTAGCAAATGAGACAGCAGTCTTATGCTTCCAGAAACACCCACAAGCACGTCCCACGTGAGCTGCTGCCATGAACTGTCAAGTGCGTGTTGTCTTGTGTATTTCAGTCACTGCCCACCCCCTCCGGCTTCCGCACGGCAGTGTGGCCGTGGAGGGGTGAAGCGCCCTAGAACCCGCCTCGCGCTTCCTCGCTGGTCTTTAGTGATCAGGAACTAGAGTTGACGGCGCCAATCAGTAGCTTAAGCAAACGCCGTGTCTGTCTTTTCCAGAATGGTCAGAAGCAAGGGAGTTTGCCCCGTTCTGTTTGTAGAGTCCTAGTTGGTCTTTCTAGCATTTTCGTGTCCATTTCCTTATGCTGCAAAAGCCAGCCCTGCAAGCGCACCTGCTCAGCTGTCGACCTTCCTGCTTCTCTCCTGACCCCTCCCAGGAAGGGAAGGGGACTGGAGGAGGGAGCGAGTCCTCCAGAGCCCCTCTTCCTCCGAGGACAAGCGGCGCCTGACCCCGCGGTGGCCTCGCACTCCCGGTACCCCCGAAAGATGCCTGTGCACATGAGTCTGCGTCCAGCCCATGCGGCACGCGGACGGCGTGTGCTGGGGTCCGTCGGGCTTGGGTCCACTATTCTTAGTCCGGTGTCAGGAGCTGGCCTCCCTGTGAGCTGTACCGCCTGGTGCTGGGAAGAGGAGGGAGGGGTGCAGGGGGCCCCTCTTTTGCCCCGTCAGTCCATCGGGGGGCTGATGGGGCATTGCCAGCGGAGAATAGTGTTTCGAGTGGCATTTTCTTTCCGTTCGGCCTGCCGCGCGGTCCCCAGTTTCCCCCTAGACTTCCAAAGCTGCCGGCTGCCTGAGGCCCCCAGGGTTCTCCCCTCCCACTGCCTTCTGCTTCCCCAGTCACAGCCTCCTCCAGTCAGTCACCTTGGAGCTGGCCGTCTTCACACGCGGTCACCCTGTCTTGGGGCCAGGTGGCTGGGACATTAGGGGAGAGGGAAAGCCGAAGCTGCGGGCTTCTCGGCAGCCGCACCCTGCCCAGTTGGGGTGTGACCTTGTCTGTGTGCGCGCTTCACACGCCGTGAAGGTTGGGGGACCTCTTTTAGGGACTCCATGAAGAACTCCCCCATCGACCAGTACCCGTGTGGCTAGCTCACAGAGGTCATGTTCATCGTCTTCCCAGTCCTGGTTCTAGTTTAGTCTCTACCTCCTCCCCCCGCAGGACGCCGTGTGTCCTCGAGCTCCTCCCACTCACGTAGCCAGGACCCTGCAGTGCCCTGGGGACGCTCGGCCGCAGCCCGGCTCTTGTGCGGCCCCTGCTTGATGGTGCTGTAGTCTCGGCTCAGAGGCAGCACACCCCCTCCGTTCCCGCCAAACTAGCCAAGAACCCCAGTCCCTCAGCCCCCTGAAGGTGAATGTCACGACAGGCTGCGTGCTGGGGGCCAGTGCACACCTGCTTCTCCCGAGAGCCCGATGTGGGTACAGGTGACCCTCTGCTTGCTGGTGTCACTCCAGCCCAGAGGCCACGGAAGGTGGCGACGGGACCGGGAGCAGCTCCGGGTTTCCTGCTCCTTTGCCCAGCTTGGCACTGGCGCGATGGCGGTGACGGAGAGAGGAGGGCTGGAAGCCAGCCGAGGGCCGGATGTGGTGGGAAAGGAGATTCCTTAGAGGGTCTCCGGGTTTTAAGTGACTCTTCCTGAAAACCTCACAGAGGCTATGGTTTGAATCCACCAGGTGGGACCCGCCGGGTCTCCTGGCGGCCTGCAGCCCCTGCTCTGTGTTCCCTCTGGCCTCGACCCCCTTTCTGGAGCATTCTAACCCAGCTGACTGGGCCTGTGGAGGTCACTGCTGCTGGTTCTTTGAGAAAACCATCCTGAATGGGCATCCTCACCCCATGCTGTGTCCTGATTCGAGCTTCATGCACAAGGTCTAGGGCCCATAGCCCAGACTTCGAGAAGCGAGCTGTGTCTGGAGCCACTGTGGCCTCTGCCTAGCCAGTCCCCGGGGGCAGGCCCTGCTCCTGACTCGCCTTAGCCCCACCCTGTCACCTTCCCGCCCTTGCTGGCTGCAAGGACCCCATCTTTGCTGTCTTCCTCAGTGAGCTAGTCTGCTCTGAGGGGGTTAGTTGAGTCTCCATTTTTGTCTTTCTCTTAGATCCCGAGATCCCGACCACATCCATCTTTCGAAAGGCCTGATGGTTACGGATCGAAACGCTATGACACTGCCTCCCTCAGGGTCCAAAGTCATGTTGTAAATGGGGGGTGGGGTGGCGGGGAAGCGAACACGGAAGCCTGTTCTCAACAATTCGCCAGGAAAACCTAGAAAACATTTGGCAGAAAATATTTTGATGTTTGTGGATGCATAAGAGCAAGCTCTTGCAAAAAAATGCTGATGTCAAAGTGCTTGGTGCTTGGCCTGCCAGGTGTGCTGAGCGTGCCAGGCCTGAGCCTGCTGCACTTGAGGAACCGCAGCCGGGCCCTCTCAGCCTGGGATGGGCCAGCTCTCCGGAGGGCAGGGTGGCAGTCCCCGAGGACCCGGCTGCCCGCCACTCCCACAGCTGCAGGTGGCCAGCTCTGGATGTGGGGAGCCGGGTGTTGGCCAGTGATCCTGAAGGCCCGATGCTCTCACTACCCAGCATCACCCTGTTTCTTGCTTTTCTCTCCTCTCGACAGAGCCCACCCCGTGCACTGATAGGTCAGGAAGAAAGGAGTTCCACCAAGGGTCCTAGCAACTCGGAAGGAGAAGGGCATCCCCCTGCGGCCTCTGCCTGTGGTGCCTGGCCTCTGGGACCGGCCCCGCTCGGCTCCCCTGGGGTCTAGGGCCTAAGTGACCAGGTGCTCCCTGCTGAGCTGGGAGGTGAGGGCAGAGGCCTGAGCGCTGGCTGCAGTGGGTGCCCCTTCACCCCTCACCGGGGAGATCCCCTGGGGTGGAGGATATGTGGTCACACACTGTCCGCCCAGGCAGAGCCAAGGCCTGCACCTTGGAGCTTGCGAACAGTTGGCACACTTCCGGTTGCCTTTGCTCCCCCAGCTCCCCCTTTCTATCTTACCTTTTCTCAGGTCCTGCTCAGCAGCGAGAGAAAACGAGGTGAAAAGGCCGAGAGGCCTGGCTCTGCC